TTCAGAAAAAATTAACATGTCTGATCTAGAGTAATCTCATGAGCTTACTCATTTGTAAGAGCAATGATAATTTGTGTCACTAAAATAAGAATTAAGCTGATTTGATCGCCATTTTATGCTGCAATATGAAGCAATCCAACATCGCTCCTAGACATTTCAAATAGATTGACTCAAGACGTTGACCAAAAAGGAAAAAGGAACAAGTTGGTCTGGTTACCCATCAAATTTGCTTCGTGCACGACAACTGCACTTCAATTAGTTTACCTAAATAAAGCTTTTTAGAGTAAACAATGATATTTTTAAGATTTTCTACAAATGCAGATTGAGAACCGCAAGGGCTTAACTGAAAACAAGGAGACTAAAATTTAAATAAAACAGTCACTGAAAGATCTGCGAAATTTCTCCTTACCTGCACACCAAGTCTAAGTTTCTGAAAACAGTAAATCAGCGAGTACCTTCCATAGTTGAAGCCTAGATATTCGTTTATTGGAACGAAATACTGTTTTTATTTCAAAAAAATGTACAATCATACTTAAATATTGTAAGTCTTCACAAATAATTATGGACAACTATTGTTAGTGGCGGGATAAGAAAATCTCTTGCATGATTTTGTGTGACAAAGACCACTTAAGTTATTTGCTGAACAACTATCAGCTGATACCTTTTGATTTCTTGACTAAGATAAATAGAGCAAAACATAACACCTGCATGGTGCAATGTCGACATCGTTAATACAAGTCACGTTACCTTGTTATGGGTTTTTCAAAGTGGGACACCTATGGCCTATAGTGGCTGGTTAAGAAGCCCAGAAAGGCGGAGAAAAATGAGCAAATAGATTTATCATAATGGTTGGGCCATGAGTTGATTGAAGTCTTTTGGTTGCAAGTGGGGAACGGAGAAGAATTAAGAATAGAAGGGAGTAGACAAGTAAGCTACAACTTTTAATGAAGTTAACAATGAGAATACCCAGAATAGGTGGCGGGGTTAATTTCTGGAAAATCCAAATGTCCAACGCATTTGGACTAGTTTTTGTGGTTCTCAACTAATCGTTTAAAAAAAAGAGTTATGAATTGGGTTATTGACACGAATATGATTGACACCTAAAAGCGAGGTTATATGGACAAATAGCAAGGCGGTTGTAGTGAAGGCCAACTGCGAATACTATTTATTTACGACGTGGAGTCAAGTGTAATTGCCTAAATTTGGCATTTCAATGGATTGATGGGTAAATGACTAAATTTACTACAGAAAATGAATAATACTGATGTTCAAGAGCGGCCATTCAACTACCTTCGTTACCGAGGACAAGTAGATTTAACAATTCGACGTCGCCTCATTCGAGAAGATTGGTCTTATGCAACAATAATACTTTCAGCCAAACTGTCTAAAAATACTTTTCAGGTAGTATTCTAGCCAGTTAGTCATGCGTAAGTGTAAAAGAGCCGAGCGAATAAGTTGCAGACCTCAGCCGTGGTCCTCCAAACGGAGTACCAAGTAAAAAGACACTGATGCATGATATTTCTACAATGTTGACTGATCTCTTAGAGTCGGTGGGAAAGGTGCCTGATTTATTTAGGCAGAACATCAATCCTAAGTCGCCGCAGGCCTGATTATTGTGTACGGATTAATAAACTGAGTCTGCAAATAACGCAGACTGGGAGGTACCTCTAGCAACTTGTCAGATGTCAAAGAAGACACGTGGTAAGTCTGTGTGCGTGTCAGGCATAACACCAGATTACATGATTTGTCAGAGGGTCCTATGATAGCAGCGTTTTTAACCCTTGGAGCATTTTCAGTGATTTACATAATATTCCACAAGATTAACAATTCGGCCATATCATGATGCTGAGGAAGTAGACGGGGCAACTTAAGAAACGTGTGACAGAGTTCCAGATTGCTGGTAATTGTGGTATTTAGTCTGTCAGATTATGCTTGCACGCTGTAGCGGAAACACCTGTGACCTACAAAGAGACTACGTTCGTTGCGTTTTGTGCCTTTCAGTTATTACACGGGCTTGGGAGAGAAGGATCGTAAACAGATGTTAAGCTGAGCGCGAATTAGCCAGGAGTCACGAATTCAGTGTAGTCAACGGCCTAGAGGGTGTGATAGCTGTTTAGTAATCGACCGTGAGTCATTCAACACTAGATCAGCCTAAAAGAATGACTAGGCGAATAATTCGCAATCGCTGATCGTTACCAAAGATGACACTATTAGCTCGGATCAGGTGCACAGCCATCTGGCTGCCTTTGACTGCATTTCCACATACATGTGCATTCTCAAAACTGGATAACTTGCTCCTGTATTTAACTCTGTCTAGAGATAAATCAGCAAAACCCAAATCTGCGCTTAGGATGGTAGATACGTGTTTTGAGCTAAAGGTTTGCAATCACTATAAAGTTTAGCAGCATCTAAAAAAGTGGGACGTCCTCTTTTCATGTCTTGATGCTTCGATGTTTCATCCTTTAGGTCTGTCTGGCTCAAATTTACATGAATAGTCTGATAAATCAAACTCAAGATTATATGGAACTGCCATACGACATCACTTCCCAACGAAACCACCTTACTTCGCCGTCAATTTGCACTTTAGGTGTGGCGCTTTGCAGTGGCTTGATAGACCTCGATTCGTTTGTGACTTGCGGAATTCTGGCCATTTCTCTTGGTTAACTTCCCAGTCTACATTCAATGACTGGTGACCACGAACTGCTACGGTCACTGGCGGGTTTCTATGAAGCAGCACGAAACTAACAACGCCCCGATTCTCCCACCAATTTGTGATAATTTATTGTTCCAAATGTAAATCAGTTTTCACCGTGGTTTGTGCCTGATCGTCTCACTTCAGGCATTGTTATTTTCGGCAAGTGTTGTTGTCGAGAGTCCGCTTTTCATAACCAGTGATTCTTCAAAGCAAAGTGGAACTATTTCAATGCTATTGAAAGATCAAAACCACAGCATTGACAAAAGTCTTGTAACGCACAAGTGATGCCACCCATTTCTGTTTTGAAAACCCAAATTACCACCGTTTCAAGCAATTGCCACTAGTAGAGTAGATTCTGCTGGCTATTGACTTAGCTCCACTGGGCCCAACGAGAATGAGGCATTTTACGTAAGCAGTCATTGCGTTTCGATATGGTCCCTTTTACATCAGATTGGGGCAAACGCAATATCCGTTGAGAATATTTTATCAAAATCAAGGAAGCCACGATCAAGCAGATATTTGTTCGTGGAAGTAGCATTCGTTGCAAGTGATACAAGATTGAGAGAATGTGACACCAAGAACAGTAATCGCAGACATAATTAGGACAATACTATCAACGAAATGTACAATCAATGCCTGACACTGATTTGGTAACAACCTGATATTTCTTAATCATAATCCATGCACTCCGCTTTTTTTAAATTGGAGGCTCACTGTTGAGTCATTTTGGCACATTCGAGTTCCACCTCTGGCCACATCCAGACCAACATAAGCACACCGATGTTGCTCCACGACCCGGTCGATGTCTGTGCAGTGCTGAGCTGTGAGCCGACTTGGACCGGATTGTTGCAACAATGCCACGACCTGACCCCTGCAGCACGCTTGCAGTCCTGGCAACAACAAAGTCCACTGCGATTCCACCGTTTATGCTTGGCAGATCCGCCACACTACCAACGGTTTCACCGTCATCAACCGACTTTGTTCTTCTTTCTCACTTTCACTACGAACTAAGGCCATCTTTCGCGTGCCCCAAAAGCGTGATTGTCATAATGGTGCATGCGAATCCGTTTCCACCACAACTACGAAATTTCACGCGCTTGTAAGAGCAGTTTGTTCTTTTTCTAATTATACGCATACTGCATTTAACATTGGTAAGATCTTCATTACGTTCTCAAGTATGCTAAAGCTTTGCGCAAGCCAACACGCTACGCACACTTATGTGAATCAAAGCTGCCTTTACTTAGACAAACCTGAACTTTGCTTTAGCGCAGTAATTGGGAGCGTGGTTAAAGTAACATTAGGCACTCTTCTGTGGCAGGTTTTAGTTTTACGCACTAAAGGAACCAAGATGGCAACCAGGCACCAAGTGCTGCAAACACTGGAGAACTTGAATTATCACACGAAGAACTAGTGGCTGAATTCCGTCCGGTTCATGTAACACAATAATTTTTAAAGTGTTCGAATCGCTTTTACGCAGAAGGGCCATGGAATGGCCTTGAACAGAGCCAAGGCTGCTATTACCACGTGGGCGCAAAACAACACGTAGTTGGGACCATTCCAGCCCGCATTGCACTTGGACAGTTAGAACGCCAATCGGACTCAGGTCGCACTGAGCACCTCCAAGGCTTTTGTTTCCCACCGTCGAAAAGGGGATGCGAAAGTCTGCCACTCCACTGCGCAAATCTGAACTCAACTGATGCTTCACAACCACGGATGATTGGTATTCTAAAGCGAAACGTGGGGACGGACACCTCAGTGCCGACCAAAGCGGAGCTTTAGAAAGATAACTGGACCACATGACAATGATTGTGAGCGTTTCACACAGGATTATCTTCATCCGCCATAATTAATGATGCAAACACACAAGACCCAGAATCGATCACTACCAGTAAGCGCTTAAGGCGCAACTCACAGTGTTGCAACTATATTTAATCAGATTAAAAGCTACGTGAAACTTTTCATAAACGTATGAAGACATGACAACGACTTTTTTACAAGTCATTGCAAAACAGAACTCACACAAATAATCATTAGTATTCCAATAACAAAGAGTTGACGAAAAAAACAATAGGTGGAATAACAGGCATGTGTGCGTGTATACATAATCACGAGCACCTGTAAGGTTGTTGAGAATTGAGCAGATTTATGCGTGTGTAGGTAGGCCACATAGCCACACGCATGCAGGAATTCAAAAAGGGTCAACCGGCCCAAAAAGTAGAAAAAATTAGAAGGGAGGAGGGCTGGCACGTGCGCATGTTGGTGTACTCTCGAGTGCGGAAAAGGAATGCGAGGAAGGATGAGGAGTTTACTGGTTCTTCTGCTGCATGGCCTGGTTCATGCTCTGTGCCACCTGCCGCCGCAGCTGCTCCTCCTCTGCGGTCCAGTAGGTGCGCATCGAATCGATTATCGACTTCGAGGAACTGAAGTACACGTCGTTCAAGGTAGACCTCATTTGATTCTCGTGGGTCTAGGGTAAAATTGTTAAACTGAATAAGCTGGAAATCATCAAAGGTGGATAGCAGGAGAAATTTTGTCAAACTGAGTACCTCCATAGTCTAGTCGAAGTAGCTAACTACTAGTGCACAAACCACACCCCGATAGTTGACGAAACGCACTTGGCGCTATCAAGTGGTGGACCTTAAGAGAAACCATTAGCGAAAAATAGTTATGCTTAACCCAACGCACTTAAAATTACAATACAGTCTAATTTGCCAGAAGCAGCCGGGGTACAGGAGGGAAAAATCAAGCGAATGCAATGGCTTGATTCAAAACATAATGCTGACCGTAGAAACACAGAAATACCCAGAAAAACAGCGATCCCAGGATGTCATTAGGGTGGTTGAGGCATTTTATCGGAACGCTTCTAAACATCTACAGGTACAGTGGGTCGAAAGAATACTAAAACTTACTTCAACCATGGAACCAATGTTGATGATGTGTTGTTTTTGATCGACAAGAGGGGCCTCACGTTCAACCATGCGACTGAGGTGCCCACTCAAGGTAGAAGCTCCACACTTGGCCGTGTTCGTTTCTATCCACATGATAACCGTGCTTGTCAATTTGTAATGCGCCGACTTCGCGGTTGGACGCTCCTACGAGAAAGGCAATTAGGCTACAGCATGGGTTCAGAATGTACGCAAGTCCAAATTCTGTTGACTGTTTTGACACAAAATTCTGTGGACAAATTCCTGGAAAACACACAAAGAATCCGTTCACGGCAGGGGTAGAACCCACTGGCAATGCACGAGATAGATGCATGTACCAACGCAAGAAGTCAAATTTGAAAATATGCTGCTTTGCTACTACGGTGCAAAGTTTTTGCAACTATTTCTAGAGGAAAGCCATGTAAAAAACGACGTAAAAAAATCCGGCTTTACCGAACGACGCCGAATGCAAGACTACAATTGCATCCGTTCAATGACTAGTAAACTGGGTAACACAAAGGTGAAAAGTAGACTGGTCACAGATTCAGCAATGTCGCAGGAAAATCGGTAGGCACCTCTTAAGCGAAAAAGTCAGTTCTTTGGATTGTGGACGCTTTGTGCTCGGCAGCAGTGAGAAGCGTCTTAATGGCCCACATTGGTAGAAAAACGTATAAGGGTGTTAAGTAAAAGAACCATCTCAATTTCTAATAAATAATGAGCTAACAGGAGTATAGTGGTAACGTGTACGAGATGTAAGTACATGCGTATTTTGTGTTTGCGAACATAGTACAATCAAATCAGGAAGTGGCTTTTATTTGTCTCAAACTCCATAAAATCTACACACGCTTTGTTTGGGACATTGATCACCTTACAATGTGGAAGCATTCAACAATAAACTCAAGAAAATGCACTTTTTGCTTACCTGAACCTCGACAACGTGGACAGAATCCCAACAGCCACTGGAGGAAGCGGCATTGCCAGTTTTTTTAATTAAAATAGCCATGGCGAAACCCTGATCAAGGTCCCAGCAATAAACAGACGAAATGCCGCCCTCAAAGTACCTGAGGGACAAATAATAATTGAAAATCCAGGATTCACACAGCCAGAATATACAAACTTGATCAATCATCAGGTCGAGACGCTTAGTCTGACTACCCCGGTTAAATTGGCACCAATCGAACATAAACGAGCCTAAAAACATTATTACCACTTGGGGTCTAGTTACGACGCATAAAAATTAATGTCAGATGTCGGAAACACATTAGATAAACCACCCAGAAATTTTTCGAGACGAAAAATGCTAGTGGTACAGGTTCATTAATAGCTGTTCCAAAGTAATTGAGAGACTAGCGAATCGGAGGAGTTAGGCTGTTTTTAAAACTATAAAATCGGTTACATTTTAGCACTGTTTTTATATTGTCAGCACTGATTGATCCAAATACCCGTCCTCATAAACCATTTAAGTGAATGTAATCGCGCCAGGAAAGTGGGTAAGCGAAATGAATGGCTTAGAGCTTTTTAAAAAAGACTGCACACATGCTTGCACAAAAAGCAGCTAATGAGATGCGAGAAATTGACACTGATAAGTGCCAGGTGATTTGTGCATTGACTAACAAGGCAGTTAATGTAAATATTTTAAACCAAATATAACCTAAAACTCTAACGATTGTAACTGGTATAACCAAAGCACCTGTCTCATATGCTGTACAAGTTAAAGCAAGAGACAAGTTGTTCACTAATGGGGTGAAAGGGCATGGGATGAATATATAGCTCACATTCCACGATACTGGTCAAAAGCGTTATTAGCGTCGATCTCAAGAACACGTAAACGTTCTGAGGGTAGTACACCGTCCTCAAGAGGTGGATCATAAACATTCGTCCAGGGTGAGCGGAATGAATCTCCATCGCGATTAAAATCAGATAAGAGATAATCACGACCAGCTTTTGTGTCCTGCTTAATCTTCATTGGTTGGTCAACAGAGCTAAGAACAGATTCGGAGATCTGCGGACAAACATCCAGGACACACTGAAGAACATGTTCGAATTTTTGCGGAGGCATCCGCCGTAAAAGATCCAAGGCACAAGTTAGCTGTTCGTTGTGCTAAAGATGAAAGTGATTACCGTGTCATTACACGAAATAAATTTGCTCCTGAAGTGCTAAGGAAATTCATTTTTAAATGGCTTAACATGTAACCAAATGCAAAGTGTGCGAATGAAATAGATTCGGCTGATCAGACTTTTACACTAATGCACTTCAATCGATCAATGGCCCTACTTAAAATACATTAGACCAATATAAGTGATCGTTTTTAATGCAAAGCCTGCATCAGTACGACGAAACCTGGGAAAGTAATAAGCAGGATAAAAAAAGATGCAAGATCTAGCATTACAGAACGCAGAAAATCCATATAAATGGGTAGAATATGACCATCAACCACAGAAGTAATTTGAGGTGGACTATGGCGTTGTCAAAAAGTAAAACTACCAGAAATGATGTAAGAATCAAATAAGGAGTTTGGTGCAACATTTAAGTGCTACAAAAATATTAACGCGCCACATCAGCAGTTGTTTTGAGGAACATTTAGAAAGCTGGCAAGGAAATCATAAATTATCTCAAGGCTGATAGAAGCAAACGGCAGATAAGACTGCTAAACGGGCATGTACATACGATGATTATGTCAAACTCATCAAACCTCTCCTATAATGCAAGACACAGAATCCCAAGACACACACAACTACGCCTGGAAATGCTGATCTTAGTCTAGCTATAGACATAGGCAACTGATTTAGTCTTATGGCAATTCAACAATACCAAACACCGATAATCAAAACAGATCACCATAGAAGTAAATCCACAGCAAACAAACGACCTGAAAGTCGTGAAAATGGAGTGGTTTGGATATGATGGGAAAAAAGGAAGGGTAAAAGACAACAGCTAAAAAAATCTTAATGAGGAGGAAATTAGCGCCAGATTTACCTAAAAATTATCTTTGACATATAGAATACTCCACAAATAAAAAGCATGTAATCACTTGCAATGCATTTAGTCACTTAAATTGTTTTATCAAGTACGCAGAATACTAAAATATGGTATGCACCATAGCGGAGAAAAGAATTTACCGAGTCAAACATTGTGCTTCCGCAAAATATTCAAAGAAAGAACGCGCAGGAAAACACAACATGTGAAATATTCAAACACATTTAAGCTGAATCACATTTACCATATTTTGACAATACTGAATGCGATAATGCTAGTTATGTAGTATAAATATTTAATTTGCAGTCCTTGCATGTGGAACTTTACGTGAAATTTCGCGTTACAAGGTGAGGCCGTCAATTTCGATTTTGCACATATTTGTTGGTGATGCCAAATAGACACAAAATACATTTACGCTTACTTAGTTTTTGCTATTACAGTGAATATTTAATTGATTGGGACATAGGGGTCTAATTTTCACTCATGGTACACTAAATCACAATTTAAATTCGATTGCTCTTTGGGCATCCAGTCATGTCGATTATAAGAAATACTATTCTCTAAATATACCTGGTAGATTTTACTTCAGTCTAGGCCATGTTATCTTCCTTTCTAATTTGGTGGTGGCTAAACTTGCATTTCTTTCATCACGTAATTTACATAGCCCGGAAAAATTACCGGGAAGTAATTTGATAAACGAAACACATCTAACTTGGCTTCCACATGGTGATAATTTGCTTATAAATGAAAATACAATTGGAATCCACGGTAACCCTACTATCCTTTTAAAAATAGTATTGGATACCCACATATTTGTCACTAAATACTACTGTTTTTTATTGTGGTCACTTATAAATAAAATCTCCAGCTATTACACTATTTTGTTTCAAAATGTTTAAAGTGACTGTTTAATACAAAAATGGAGAAAATGTAAATGTGCTTCCGTAGAGTTACCTGCAATACTAATCAAAGCCGTGTATTTTGCTAACTGTTTACAGTATAACTATTTACTGGGAGGCTTCTCTCCAACCTCCGAAGCCCGATAGGTCATCGGTGCGTCCCATTCAACAATGTTGCACAGTAATTTTAGCTTTTTTTTACCTGGATAACACATAGGCAATTTTTCACAAGTTTGCCTACACCACCAATCCTGTTTTTTATTTCTTATGTTATTCTAAAAATTAGCAGGTTGTTTTAATAAAGGTAGGGCCTGATATCTTATGCAATCATTTTTGGGTCTTCATGGTAATAAGCAATATTATAATGAAGTCAACGACGATCAACCTTAGTATCGTCTTATCTCACTCTCTCTTGCAAGTCATATATAGGCAGCCATGCTTTAACGTAAAAGGCTATGTAAAATAGTCACATTTGCAAATGCGTTTTGAAGGTGCAGAAGTTCTGAATTATTGTGCTTTCAACTCTCTCTTGATGTCAATTTGAATCACAGGCCAATAAATGCTATACATTATGGGCCATAGATACGTCTGCGTCAGGCGCTCTCTATATCGTTTGCAGATGTTGTTACCAGCCACAAACGTGCTGTTCCTGAGATCAACTATTTGATATTCATTTAAATCCTAGCAAAGCAGTTTTGTTCATTGCCTACCACACATCTATACTACTCTTCAACTGCTAAAGGGAATATTTTATCCACATTTAAATGGCAGGAAAATTTTAAGCATTCCTATTGAGTTGAAACGCTTCATGTTAATTAAAGCAAATCAGTTTTTTAAAAGTAATATATTAATATCAGCAAATGAGGTTAAAATCAATAAATGCTCGTTGTAAGTTAGATAATTTTTCCACTAAACAGTACACGACAAAATCATGCCAGGCCACGCTCTGTGTATTGCTGAATTGGAAACTTTCCTAAAGGTTTAACTTTATATTGTGCACCGTTTACCTGTTTCATTTGTATAAGACAATTCTATATAACCATTAAATGCATATTAAATCAAGCGATTTCTTTTTTGTGGAAAAATATTTTAGAATTATTTGCAAGACGTTTAAACGGATTTATCTCAATATTCAAACTTTAGACCGATTGCTTCTACAAAGTTTTCAACATTATTCTGTGTACGAAATCTCGTACAACCCACTAGTGCCAAGTATGTAAGGCAAGGTTAAGCTCATACATCACCAAGACATCTATTGTCTTACCTCCATTTGCTATGCTATTCAAGATTCCATAGACTACCATTCACTTGCTAAGATAACATACTCTTTGAAATGGTCTAAAAAAGAGAAATCGAGTCCCAATTTCGGGCATCCATCTACGCATTTGTCATGAAAACTCTAAAGTCGTTAGTACGTTTGTGCCAGTCGTGCTGCATTCTCTGTCCTGGGGGAGGAGTTACTCGGCAATGCTGATCGAGAAATGAAAGATCTTTTGCATTAACTTAAGCAATTAAATCATAATTTGCCCTATTACTACCACACAAGCTACACGTTTCTGAACGTTGTACTGTGCGTGCTTATGGAAAAAAATGTCAAAGTGTTATTTTAACTACGAAGCGTTATGGATAACTAATTCATAAATAATCATACGAATGGCCCTTTTGAAGCTCAAGTGAACGTTTTTGGACCGATATGAGTTTCTAGAAAAAGGTTTAAGGTGACAGGGCACCTGAAAATAAGTTATTAAACACAAATTTAAAAACGTGTATTCAAGAAAATCCCTAAAATTTTAATGGTTGTGTCAGAAAACTGAAAGGCACTAGAACTTTTAATTCCGTTGTAGTAAGAAATTGAAGTTAAAATGACTATAATTAAATTGAGCAGAGAGCTGGTTGGGGTACTAATGTTATCCTTCTAAGCTCCGACCATTGAAGAACACGTATCCACCAGTTTTTCTTCATGTCAAAACCAAAATTATGCAACCAAACCGAAATTCCCGCTGTTTTAGGAACAACGTTGGACACTACACTTTTTGAATGACTTTGGGCCATCACATGACTTTTCGCATAAACGGTAAATGTCAAGTTATGGTGGCATAAGCCAGTTTGACTGATCTTTTTCTTGATCACCACTATAAACGTTAACTTCCTATTTTGCTGGATGATTCTATGAAAATAGAACTGACACTCGACACTGAAATATCCTTTAAAATTTCACTTAGATAAACAAGAAACAGTCTTAATTTAGGAGTCAAAACGATCCCCACAAAATTAGTCACGCAAAATATGAAAATCAACTCCAACTAAAATGGGAAGTGGTTCCGACATATACGATACGTTCCATTGTTTTTACACAGTTCCATTTGTGGTGAGAGAAAATAAGCACAACTGCAACTGCTTTACTGTAAATGCAAGAAAGCATAAATAGTGATGCAAGCGGATGAATTTTTGCGAAGTCATTACGCTTTATATCAGGACCAAATAGTTTAAACTGTTTAATATTGTAAAACGATGGTCTGCGTTGTAGTTTCGCGCCAATAACATTGTCGGTGGGAATCTGTGGAAGAAGACGACTGCGCAGCATGTTTGGGCGATTTACACCCACCCTTTGCCGTAGGTTTGTACAGTCCCAGTTGTTGTCCATCTCTCCTGACCATTATAATTCGACGCTGCAATCGTAAGTAAAGCAGGCTTCAGGTAATTTGGAATAGGGCCAAGGCATTGAAATCAAAGCTGCGTCGGTCACATGAATCCGTCGAATCATGTTTTGACTTCCTTCGCATGCTACATAAGGCAGCCCAATGTTTTAAGGCGCCAATCTGTTTCCACGGCCTTAATCAACAGCTAGGGGAAGCTTTCAGCATTTAGAGTGTACAACCAATTAAAAGTCACAAAGACTCCAAAAAGTCTGGATGAGGTGACTTCATTGTGTAGTTTTACATTATTACTCAAACTGAAATTTTATCTCACACACATTTTTGTGTATTCTTGTTAGATGAACCCAGATTTTCGCTTGAGATGTCCCTTTCAATCTTGTGTATCTTGATTTACAAGGAAACTTGCAATATTGGTGATTGTTAGCAGGTGATTCCGTCAACACAAAGTTTTTTCAGTAAATAAAGTATCTGCAACTGCGTCGAGGTCCATCGCTTTCCCTAACTACCTGCAGTTACCTAACAGGCCCTTTGGTTAACTTTCAACCAAGGCAAATAGAAGAATTTTTCAAGGGTTGTCTATTCATGTCTGTAGTTGGTTAAAATAGCCTAGTGATCAGCAAAAACGTGGTTTTAGGTGACTAGAGAAGTAGAGAAAAACCTTTACTGTCTAAGTCAACTTGAAGATAATCTAAACATGAACATGAGTGAAGCGGATATTACTGAGCTCACCAAGATTTATACCCATCAATGCGAAGAAATTTAGCTTTCATTTCATTTATGTACCTGATATAAAGCTTTGATGCTGTTGGGGCTGGCATTGCACAACCTGCTTTTTTTGTTCCTGTAGATTGTAAAAAGAGGGTCCCTGGGGCTGATAGGTAATGCTGGAAGTGGCAAGAGGTTTCTGTGGCCCAGCGGAATTCCACCAGTCATCTTGGTGGTACTGATCATGCAGTCGGATGTGTTGTTTCTGCTCATATTGGTGAGACTGCGGCAGGTACCTCGCAATGCAGGTCTGCTGTGTGCCGTAGTATTGGGTCATGAGGCCCGGGTCATCAGCGCTGGCCGTCTTGATGGATTCGCGTTCGTAGTAGCTTTTAATGGAAGACGACCACGTGCCACCTCGGGGGGAGGACACGGGAAATGAGACTCGGTGGGCATTAGTGTGACGCCAGGGGTCTTCTTGTGTAGCCTTCGTGGGTGTAGCAAAGTCCAATCTACTAGTGTTACGATCGCAGAGACCAGCAGGACGGTCCACTAGGTGAGGTTGGGCGTAGTTTTTCTGGCCGAGGTTGACTGAGTAGGTCGGCGAGTAAGGTGCTTGGCTCACATTATCGTGGCTCGTTGTTCTGGTGTCTTTGTAACTTTGGCTGACGGCAAATCTCAAAGGAGGCTTGTCGATTATAAAAATTTAAAATTATAAAGGGTAGCAGCAATCTTATGGTATTTGGAAAAGATTTTTGCATGCGGTGAAATTTTAAGCATTTTTTACACAAAAAAATGAAGTGAATCGACATCATTTATCACTGTAAATATGTACGCATAAGAAGGGTAATCGAGTACAAAGGCAGTTTGATGACAGCAAGTAAGACGTGCTTAAGGTACTTAGGATTTAAATATCTTAACTGGCCTCAAGTGCTTACCAATGCCATGGAGATGGTAATACACCAGACTCCTGCCTCCCAGCTGCCGGCTACCCACTTTAAGTGTGCAGGAAAAGGCAGAATCGTACGGATGTGCGTGACAAAATAAAGGCCACGCACGTAGGCGACATTTGTTGACTAGACCTGGCGGGCAGCACACGTGCACAAAATCAATTTTAAAAAAACTTGTCCCACCACAAATGTTTCAAATCGATGTTATCAACGGTTATGCTGCTTAATAAAGCTCCGAGATTGATGACATATTGAAAAAAACTGATAACTAATAAAGACAATAAAGACAATGAGATTGGCTTAATCTTACAATATAAAACTCAGCTTTTCAATGTACAAAACGATGTTTGATCTGTATGAAATTCCTTTTCTCTGATAGCATTTCACATCATTAAGTTACTTCAGGTTTCCATGCTCATAAATTTTTTAATCATTTGCAAAGAACAACAAAACCATGTGCGGGTTGCTGGTCGTGGTCGTTGCTCAATGCTTCATTCTTAAATCTCTCTAGCTCAAATTA